TTCGGCTCAGGTCATGATCCCAGAGTCCTGGGATCGAGCCCCACATCGGGCTCCCTGCTCAGCGGGAAGCCTGCTTCTCCCTCTCCTACTCCCCCTGCTTGTGTTTCCTCTCTCGCTGTGTCTCTCTGTCAAATAAATAAAATCTTTAAAAAAAACAAAACAAAACACAAGAGGGGGCACCTGGGTGGCTCAGTCAGTTCAGCGTCTGCCTTTAGCTCAGGTCATGATCCCAGAGTCCTGGGATTGAGCCCCACATCAGGCTCCCTGCTCAGCAGGGAGTCTGCTTGTCTCCCTCTCCCTCCACCCCTACCCCAGCTCATGTTCTCTCTCTCTACCTCTCTCTCTCTCAAATAAATAAATCTTAAAACAACAAAAACAAACCCCCCCCCAAAAAAAACAAACAAAAAACACATAAGAAACAAGTGCTGGTGAGGATGTGGAGAAAAAAGAACCTTTGCGCACTGTTGGTGGGAGTGCAAACTGATGCAGCCACTGCGGAAAACAGTATGGAGGTTCCTCAGAAAATTAAAAATAGAATTACCATATGATCCAGTAATTCCACTACTGGGTATTTACCCAAAGATACAAAAACACTAATTCAAAAAGATATGTGCACCCCTATGTTTACTGTAGCATTATTTACAATAGCCAAATTATGGAAGCAGCCCAAGTGTCCATCAATAGATGAATGGATAAAGAAGACATAATATACATGTGTACACACACACACACACACACACAAACACTATGGAATATTACTCAGCCATACAAAAGAAGGAAATCTTGCCATTTGCAACAGCACAGTTGGACCTACAGTATAATGCTAAGTGAAATAAATCAGTCAGAGAAAGACAAATACCATAAGATTTCACTCATATGTGGAATTTAAAAAACAAAACAAACAAAAGAAAAAAGAAACAAACCAAGAAACAGATTCTTAACTATAGAGAACAAACTGATGGTTACCAGAGGGGAGGTGGGTGGAGGGATGGGTGAAATAGGTGAAGGGGATTAAGAGTACACTTATCATGATAAGCACTGAGTAATGTAGAGAATTGTTGGCACCCATGAAATTAATAAAACACCATATGTTAACTATACTGGAATTTAAATTTTTTTTTAAATTGCAGAAAATAATTTTTGTTTCTATTTACCAGAACCAAGATTCTAAAAGCAGGGCATATCAGACTCTAAAAGTCATATATTATTTGGAAAGTCATGTTTAATATTTAAATTTCTGTTAGAATAAAAAAAACCATTTCATTGTTTTTCTAATCTAAAATTTGACAAATGACTACAAACCTGCCAGCATTTACATCCATTCCTCTCTCTTCCACCCTCCCTTCAAAGAACAAGCACTCCTCGTGAGCTAAGTATCCCTCCCCTACCTGCTCATGCAGGTATCAATCACTGGTTATCTCCTTTCTGCTCCGGATCTTCAAATGCTTTCACTGCCAGGGACTTCTCAGGACAAAGACATGTTCTACCTATCTCCCCGCTCTCTTGACTCTTACATCCCCCTCTACATTCATAGTACTTACCATAATTTGTAATGATCTATTTATCTCTCTCACTGAGTTAGAAACTTGCTATTGAGCAGCACCAAGTCCATTTTATTCACTGCTATACCCCCTACACCCAACAGTGCCTGGTTTGTAGTGGTAAAGTTTGTTGAATGGCTGAACAAAAGCACATACCCTGAATGAATGGAATGCTTTCATTTTCTATAGGTCACTAGCTGCACCATGACACTTTGACACATGGCGAAGGTATAATTCCTGGTCAATTACTCATCAGGAGGATCAAGGTGGTTGATGGGTCTAAGTAGACAGATAGCCGGGGTGGGGTGGGGGAGTTCAGAGATGCTCAATGGTACATTTGTTGTCTGCATACAGGCACATGCCATACTTTAGTTCAAAAGCTAGGATTTCAACTAAAGGCAAATGTGTATAAGCAAAGGGAATTCTAGGGGAGGCTATAACATTGGTATGAAACTTACTATCATCCTTCTTGCTCCTCAAGTGATATCTGTTAGGGGTTCGTTTATGAAAGGCTTCCACCTGCTGTGCAAGGGGCACGTACGTAGAAGCTGTTTCATCAAATGTTCTTTTCTTTCCTTGGGACAGGTTGAAAGGCTTAATAATGGTGCATCCCTTAGTCACTCGGGCCTGTAAAGAAAAAAGTTATTCTCCCAATGAAGTGTTATGGAAGAGCTCAGATCTACCACAAGCTGCATATTCAGCACAGAGGATCAAAAGAAAAAAGGCCTGCGGTGAAGCCAAAATTATTATTCCTAAATTTGTCCACTCCCATCTTTTAAAAAAGGGAGAAAGGATCTAGCACTTAACAAATTGTCTGTTCTGCAATAGTAAATAAGGTGATTTTTCCCAAGCATGTCAATGTTTTAAAGCCAGCAAGAACAAGTTTTCTGAGAATTAGAAGGAGAAAATAAAAGTTGCAAAGGTATTGCCCTCACCCCCAATCCCATTAAGAAAAAGCTGATTTGGGTTCTGGGTCTGGATCAGGCCAGGTAGCTGCCTGAATCAGAATCTCTGCAGACATCTTTCCCAAAACTAAGAGGTGAAGAAGCCTAGTCCTTGGATGATTAACTTTCATAAAATTGATCTCTGATTGGAAACAAAACTCTTTAAGGATTGACATCTCAAAGGAAGAAGCATAACCCCAGGGTTTAAGACTGCAAAGGACTGATTTCAACAAGTGATGATGCGCACTGCAAATGCAAGTAGAAATTCTTAGTACTAGAATTTTCACTTAGGATTCTTACTGTTTCTGTTAGATTTGAGTGGTCTGCCCCAACACCATTTTTCCCATAAGCCCTGTCATATATTGTACACAACTCTGTAAACACAAGACTTTTTTAAAGAATTTTGTAACAGCACAAACTGCAACAAGCTGGGACTTAAAGTTTGCCACACATAAGTCTATGTGCTTTATGTACATTCTCAACTCAGTTTCACAGCAACTTCGTAAGATGCTTCCCAGAATAATAGAGTGATTTCTCCAAGATCATATAGCAAACAGGGCAAAGTGAGGATTTAGATCTATCTTAACTCAAAAACATGCTTCTCTCAATTCTATTATTAGAAGTAGTGACCAGAACTACTACACCTGAATCCTTGATGAATTAGTAACAAGAATATCCACTGAGCCCATCAACTTACAGGAGATGGAGGATGCTTTCGCAGTTCAGATGTAAAGTTCACTTCCTTATATTCCTCCTGATTCTTAGGATGTTGTTTGATTCGCTCATCTGTGCGGAAGTGGAAGTCAACTGATTTGGTTACCTGGCTCACTGATTTCTTCACCGGTTGCCCTGAGTGAGAAGCAGAGTAAAACACATAGGTAACACTAAGAATAGAGAATATTGGTAAATCTCCTTTATCCAGTCCTTTCAGTATTTCTATCACCATGGATCTAACTTTGTTCACTCTCTACACATCACCCAAAACTTGAAACAGTCCTCAGGGACACTACTATATGTACCTTATTCATTGAGTACTATCGGTTTGAGGACCTTTGATCAGATGCAAATTGCAAAGAGGTGGCACAAGGGGAGAAGAATCCCATCTCCCAGGTGTGGTCATAGCTCTGGAGACACACAGTAACTGGAATTCTTTTGACAGGAAAAGCTATGAATTGACTTAAAAAGCATACTTAACTAAACATGTCTAAGAGGGAAACCCTATAAACTCCAGGAGTGCTTTTTCGCAGGGCTTTATAGCTTTGACTCCACCAATAATAACTCTATTTAAGAGCAAAGCAGAACTCTGACCCCTTGGCTCCCTCAGTCCTACTCTTCCTCTGTAGCTACAACTGGATTTGCTCAGCTTTCTTTTCCTCTGTCTAGGATTAAAATGGGAAAACAACAACAAAAAACTGGCCTGCCCAATGGCTTTATCTTCTGTCTCAATCCTAATGCCTTCTTTTTCTAATACAAAGAAAAAGAATTAGGAAGAAAAAGGAGGGAGGAATTAATTTTACTTGAAGAAATGAGGGAAGGTCTCATGGAAAAAGGCCTCGAAAGATGGGTGTGAGTCCTATAATTAGAGGCAGAGAGCAACAGTGTGCTCTGAGAAAGGCCCGATGTATGTAATGCTTTTTTTTTTAAAGTAGTCTTTATGCCCAACTTGGGGCTTGAACTTATGACCCTGAGACCAAGAGTCACATGCTCTATTGACTGAGCCAGCCAGGGGCCCTGGTCCAATGTATATAAAACATTCTAGGGAATGGTCATTGGGATATAAAGGGTACCAGCTGTCCAATAAACACATCTTTTTCTACTGACTACTAACCAGGAAAGCCTTTTTTCCCTTTTAGAGACTTCAAAAACCCTACCAAAATAATGAGAAGCACCCTTCATAAATCAGACTCAACGAGAGCCAAGCTAACCTATTCCAGCAAGAGCAAGTTTCTTGAATTCTTCATTCTTTTTCCGCATCTCCACCACCTCCTGTTGCATTTTCATTCTCTTCTCCAACTCTTGCTCCTCAGTACTTTTGAGAATCTTCTGCCTAAGGGGCAAATCAGTAAAGGAAATGAGAGAGGAGAGAAGAAAGAGGTTTGTGATTCAAAAGAGTCTAAAGGTATTACATAGATCAGATTTTTAACCTGTGATAAAATAACCATCAAAACCAAAAAGTATTATCTGATAAACTGATATTGACTTAATTAGGGAACACTACGAAAAAAAACCCGATTCACAATTTATACCAAAATATCGAAAATTTTTTTAAAAGATAGCTAAAATAGACTATAGAAGATACTACAAAAAACTCATAAATTTGACTATACAGTGATTAGCTTTTAGGCCACAAGAAAAAGTAAGATTAAAATACCAGCAGAATGACCATATGATCCAGCAATTGCACTACTGGGTATTTACCCCAAAGATACAAAAGTAGGGATCCGAAGGGCTACGTGCACCCCGATGTTTATAGCAGCAATGTCCACAATAGCCAAACTGTGGAAAGAGCCAAGATGTCCATC